CTTCCGGAGGAGGGTGGAGGTAAGGACGTAGGAATACCTAGCGTATCCCCGGATGAAGTTACTATAGTAGCTGGTCAGGCCAAGGAAGCTGCGAAGCTGCTTGGCGGATGTGGGAGCGGGCCACTCCGCAATAGCAGTGATCTTCGCGTCGTCCATGTGGAGACCCTGGTCAGACACGTAGTGTCCTAAGAAATTCACTTTGTGCTGGGCAAAACGGCACTTGCTTAGCTTGGCGTAGAAGTCATGTCTGCGCAAGCGGTCAAGGACGTCGCGAAGGTGTCTGAGGTGCTCCTCAAGGGTACGACTATAGACCAGGATATCGTTGAGGTAGACGAGAACGTACACCCCAGGATGTCCCTGAAGATGTCGTTCATCGCCCTCTGGAAGGTAGCGGGTGCGTTGGTGATGCCGAATGGCATCACCATGAATTCGTAGTGGCCGAATCGCGATCGGAACGCGGTCTTCGGCTGGTCGGCTGCAGCGACACGGATCTGATGGTAACTGCTACGAAGATCAATCTTCGTAAAGAAGCGGTTGCCTGCTAGGCGGTCGAACAACTCATCGGAACAAGGCATGGGGTAGCTGTTCTTAACCGTGTAGCGGTTGAGGCCGCGGTAGTCGATGCAAAGACGAAGAGTTTCATCCGCTTTGCGAGCAAAGAGGACGGGTGCACCCCACGGGGAGTTGCTGGGTTTAATGAAACCCAGTCTCAGGAGCTCCTCAAGCTGACGCTTGAGTTCGGTGGCCTCGGGGATCGAGAGTCTGTAGGGTGCCTGGTGGTGAACACGATAGTCAGGCACGAGCTGAATGGAGTGCTCGACGTCACGCATCGATGGGATGCCGGCGTACGAGAACGACAATGGAAAAACGTCGTGGTACTCTCGGATGAGGTCACGAACTGCGGGCTCCAAGTCAGACGTATATCGTGCGAGTTCCTCAGCGTCAGCGTCGGCGCGCGACGGCGGGGTGGACTCGACGGACGGCGGAGGGACGAAAGTAGAGATGGGAGCCATGGAGATAGAGGGAGGATCTGGCTCCAGAGGGATGAGCTCGGCGTCGGGACAGGGTGGATCATAGTGTAAGAGATCCGTCACGTCCACCATAAAGAAGGTGACATCGTCCTGTCGAATGAAGTGAGCGAACTGCCGAGGCGAGGTGACAGTGATAGAGGGAGATGGTGTGGGCACTGAAGGCTCCGGGGGAGGAGGATCGGGGCGTGGTATCGCCGTGGTACCTATGAAAGGTACGCGATACGTTTGTCCACACTTCGTTTTGAGAACGAGAGTGTTGGTCGCCCAATCGGCCTCGGTGCTGCGGAACCGACGAGACCATGGAGTGCCGAGAATGAAGTCGTACCCCGTCTCCATCACATCGAAATGTGCAGAGGAGCGGTGGCGACGACACGCCGGGGAACACTCAGTCGGCTCGAGAGTGAGGAAGAAGGGGAGGCCGGTGACCGTCTGATCGAAGAAGCGCTGGGTCCTGTCATCCCCTAGGGTAACGGAGATGGGAGTCGGAGACCCTGTCGTGGGTAAGCGGGCTTCCTTCACCACGCGTGGGTGAATGAAGTCGCCCTGAGAACCRGAATCCCACAGCGCTGAGTACCCCCTCGTGGAGGTCCCGAGTCGTACGGGGATGATCGGGAGGGTGCGATCAGGGTCAGAGAGGATGGCGAGAAGGCGACGCAGTGCAGCGACATGGAGGGTGAGTCGCTCCTGACGAGCCTGGAGCATGCTCAAGTCCAGAAGAGAGGACACAACGTCCTCGCGAGTAGCAAGCTGCTCGCTGCAACGGGCTGAGCGAATGGCTCGACGCGTCGGTAGTTGCGGCGGGGGAGGAGGGGAGACGGTGGTCTGCGGAGGCGCAGACGGTACGGCGACAGAGGGCTGAGTACACTCTGTCGAGTCCTGCGATACCTCAACTCCAGTAGCGAGGGGGGCGAACCGCGACGGAGATGTCGGGAAGCCCACTACTGAGGAGGGTGCAGGTGTACACTGCACCGTGGCTAGGAGGCGCCGCGGGGACGTGAGGCGCCGGGGGGGGACTGAGCACGACGCTGACGAGAAAGGTCAGCGTAGTGGCGGTCGAGGGCGGTAGTGTAAGGGCACCCCGCGAGGAGGTATGACCGTCCAAGCGGCAGCTCAAACACCCATGCCGGCCCAGAATAGCCGCGCGCTCCTCAGGGGAAAAGACACCACGAGGAGGGACGAAGCCCTGAGGGAGGTCCTCCTGAGGGACCTCGGGGGGCGATGCGCCAGCGTGACCGGGGCGGCTGCGT